ATATATTTGGGGCCTGGAGAGATGGCTTTGCAGTTAAGAGTACTAGCTGCTCTTGCAGAAGACCCGGGTTCAATCCCAGCACCCACATGGTGGCTAACAACCATCCGTAACTCCAGTTCCAGGGGAATCCGATACCCTCTTTTGACCTCTGCGGGCATTGCATGACATGGATGCACTTACATACATGTAGGCAATACACTCATACAAATAAAAATATTTAAAAACATATATTCAGCTGGGCGTGGTGGCGCATGCCTTTAATCCTAGCATTCGGGAGGCAGAGGCAGGCAGATCTCTGTGAGTTCAAGGCCAGCCTGGTCTACATAGTGAGTTCCAGGACAGCTGGGGCTACAGGGAGACCCTGTCTCAAAAAGATAAAAAAAAAAAAAAACCAACAAAAATAACCGTATATTCATTGAACAAAATAAATTTTGGCATCCGCATGCATGTGTAGTGTGTACTTTGATCTTACTCCCCTCTTTGCTGTTCCCCATCCATTCCTAGGTCTATAAACCTACCATCTTAGTCTCTCTATATTTCAAAAGAAGTTAGGAAACAAATTGGTAGGGGAAAATGGATTTATTCATTCTGGTTACTGGGGAGAGATAATCTGCCTCTGGTAGTCTATGAAATTTTTAGAAAATTGAGACAAAGGTATGTAGATTTGGCTGTGCAACAGTTTAGCCTGTCCTTTTCTGGGGGGAAGATCACCAGCTTCAGTGCATTGTCTTAGTTCTTAGAAGTTCTCTGTCAGCATGGAGGGGCACAAATGTCCCTCTTTAGAATTCATAATGCAGGCTGGAGAGATGGCTCAGCGGTTAAGAACACTCACCTTGCAGAAGACCCAGGTTCAAATCCCAGCACCCACATGGCAGCTAACAACTGCCTGTAACTCCAGTTCCAGGGAATCCAACAGCCCCTTCTGACCTCCACGGGCATTGCACAACACAGGTGCACGTACCTATGTGCAGGCAATACACACATACACATAAAAATAATAAAACAAAAAATAGAATTCATAATGCTTCTGAATTCTTCAGGGCTCCAGTGTTCTTTTAAGTATAGGATCACTGCTACACTAGTGGTCCCCTTTCTCTTCCTCAATAAGTGCCCCGACTCCTTTCAACTTGCTTGCTTGCCTTTTTTTTTTTTTTTTTTTTTGGTCTTTTTGAGACAGGGTCTCCCTGTAGCCCCAGCTATCCTGGAACTCACTATGTAGACCAGGTTGGCCTTGAACTCACAGAGATCCGCCTGCCTGCCTCTGCCTCCCAAAAGCTGGGATTAAAGGTGTGCGCCACCATGCCCGGCTTAACTTCCTTTTTAAAAATATTTTTGTTTTATGTGTATGAATGTATTGCCTGCATGTATGTAAGTGCATCACATGTGCACAATGCTCTGCAGAGGCTAGAAGAGGGTGTCGGATACCTTGGAACTGGAGTGACTGATAGTTGTTAGCTGCCATGTGGGTGCTGGGAATCAAACCTGGGTCCTGTGGAAAGAGTGTTCTTAGCTGCTAAGCCATCTCTTCAGTCCCTCAACATTTTTTTTTGTTTTGATATAAAATAACTTTTATTTACATAACTTTTATCTACAGAACATAACTGCTTTTTTTAGAACAAGAAAATTTACAAATGACAGATATTGCTGCTTTTGTCAGAAAATTCAAGCAAGGCAGTATACATGGCCACTTGCATTTGAAATAATATGGTAAATAGTAGATATTAGTATTTTCATCTGTGCTTTATTCATTTATCATACTTAGACTTTTAAATCCACTTGATAAGATGCAAGAGTTCAAGAGGTATAGTGAGGAAAGATAAAGACCTTTAATCACATCTCCTTTAAGGCTTATAAAACAAATTATATGCAATATCTTCTTTATATCATCATAGACCTTTCCAGCTAAGTACAATGGTTAAGTTTCTCTTTTTCCAACATTTGTTTTATGGACATAATAGTAGGACAATTTGTTGGCTGACTTGATTCTCTACAAAACAAATAATCCTCCATTCTTTATACAGTAAATTACATCTTCCATAAAATTGGTTTATTATAGACGAACAAGAGACAGAGGTTAAAAAATAAATATTATACAGGGATAAATAATAGCTTAGTCATGGTAACCTAATACCCCAACTAACATTAAGAAAAAAACCTTTTAAGAACATGAAATTTTCTAAATTTACAAACAGCATTGTAATAGCAATGTGATTTACCACCATGATTTTGTGACAATTAAATGAAACAGGTGTCTACTTAGAGTTTCCATCTAATTAATCCTCCTTCATGACAAAGAAGTTAAATCACTAATTGTACTCCAGGCCAATGAATGAGCAATGCTCTTATAGCAAGTTCCAATCAATCAGCATCAGTGGTATATGAACTTCTTTGTTTTTTAAAGTCTAGATTCCACATGAGAAAAACATGCAATCTTTGTGCTTCTGAGCATGGCTTCATTTAAAAAATATTTTTATTTTCATTTCATGTGTCATGAATGTATTGCCTTCATGTATTTAAGTACACCTGTGTCATGCAGTGCCCACAGAAGTCAGAAGAAAGCATCAGATCCCCTGGAACTGGAGTTAGGGATGATTGTTAGCAGCCATGTGGGTGGTGGGAATCGATCCGGGGTCCCCTGCAAGAGCAGTCAGTGTTCTTAACCACTGAGCCATTTCTCCAGCCCATGGCTTCATTTAAAAAAAAAAAAAAATTGAGACCAGACATGGTCTCACTAATGTAGTTCTGGCTGGCCTCAAACAGAGATCCACCTGCCGTGTCTCCAGAGTGAGTCACTCTATGTGGGTACTGGGAACCAAACTTGGGTCTGCTTACAAGAGCAGGGCACGCTGTTAACCGGCCCCATCCTCTCCAGCCCTTGGCTTATTTGTCTTAACATGATCGCCACTTCTTATTTTCCTGTAAATGACATAATTTCATACTTAATGGCTGAAAAACATTTCATTATGTAAACTTTCTTTTTTTCTGGGTCGCCTTCATTCTCCAGCTTCACCTATGAATTGGGATTACTTCATAGGGGCGTTGGACAGCTTCTGGAAGGTAGCAAGAACAACTGAAAAGTTTTAGGGAAAGGATGCCACCACATACATGATTTCACAAAGATCAGTTTGTGTAGAATAAAGCCTTGTATCGTGGGGCTCTTCAACTATTGTTTTTTCATCTATTAACATACATGTTCAGTCCCCAATGCCATAACTACCTCAAGACAACGACTTTATTGCTGACCCCTGTTTCTGCCACCATCCATAATAGAACTCTAAAACCAATTGATTGTAGCCCTACTTAAAAGTCTCGCTGAGACCCCATTTCTGTAAGGCTAAAAT